CCCGAAAGGGTGGTGAGAAGTCTAGAGGGGGGGGGGGGGGGGGAGGTGAATAGACTTCTCTAACATTTCGAATTCTTTCGCAAATCACACAAGACAAATAACACTTTGATTATTTCAACTCTAAGTAACAAGCATCAACAAGATAAACAACTTAGAGTGTGCAGCGGAATAGGTAGCGGTAAAGTGTTATGCTTAATTGTGACACCCCAAAAATCCACACTCCGATTCATGAATTAATTGAGTAATTAATTCTATTTCTTTTGAGGAATTGATTCCTAAAATCCTGATTTTTAATACTCAAGGACTAGTATTTGACTAGTCAATTTTTAAGTGGTGTTGTACCTTGTGCTTTGAGAGGAGTTCCCTTGTTCCTTACACTTTCTAAGAGTTAGTAAGGGTATCCTTGTCTTTTCACCAAGAGTTAGTTTTGAAACATAAACCTAGAAGACTTCTTCATTTTCATCCCTTACAATTCCTAGAAAATATCTCTACCTTCTCTCTAGAAAAGAAGAGTAGCTTGTTCTTCAAGCCAAGTGAGACCTTTGTCAAGATTCCAAGTTTTGCTTCCAAGATTCAATCTTTCACCTATTTGGGCATCTAGAAGGGTAAGATCTAAGCTTGTCTAGTCTTTTTGGTTCCATCTTAGTTGTCTTTTTCTTAAAGGTGGGATCTTTATGATCTTTTGGTTTGATCTTGAAGTGGGTTTGGCTAGTGAGCTTAGTGGAGAGCTTGTTGTGGTGTAAGAGAAGTCTTTTGGTCTTCAAGAGGTAACCCATGCTCTACAAAACCTATTTTTGCTTACCTATGTATGATTTCTTGGATTCTACTTGTGTTTTGCTATGAAATGTGAGAGTTTATGCATTTATCTTGTGATATTGCATATCTAGAGCTTGTGTTTAGGATTCCTTTGTGCCATTGCTTGGCATTTTCCATGGTTCAAGTCATTTTGTTGTGTTTGGTGAGATTTGGCATGTTTTGGACTTGAATTTGTGTTTGGAGAAGAAAATCCCCGAAGGGATTAGTTGTGGAACAGGTGTGTTCCCGTGGGCGGAACGGCGGGCGGGGCACTACCCGCGGGTACACAGCCTCGTGGGAATTGTTCCCCACGGGCGGGACACGGGTGGGGCACTACCCGTGGATCCACCCGCGGGTACATGGTTGTGGTGATGTTGGGATTTGTTCCCCGTGATTCGTTTGTCTCGGTATTTGATCTTTTGGCTTCCCGATGTTCTTTTGTGGAACTATTTGAGTGTCTTCTTGATGTTTCGTAGGTCTAGAACTATATGGTAGGTATCCATGTAGGATCTTTGGTGCCTTGATTCGTGCTAAGTGTTCAACATTGTGTTTCGTTGAACCAAGAGGTGTCTTGTGTGTTCCTCGGAACTATCTTGAGTTTCCCCGTTGTTAAGCATGCTAGTTCGTTGTCTTAATACTAGCGTGTGTGTGGTTTGTACCTTCCGTTTGGTTGATGATAACTTGTGTTATTCATCGTTGTTGTTGTTGGGCTGTGACCCGTCTCTTGATTGAGTGTGTTTCATACCTTCTTTGCAATCCGTTGATTGATTCGTGTGAGTGGTGGTGCGTGTGTGGCTCTACCTGGATTGCACGATTAGTGGTATGTGACACTAGTCACCAAGCTATTGCAGCGATCCTCGTGGTGGCCGTGATGTGATTATGGAGTTGTGTTCCTTCGAGAAAGGTTCACATGATTGGGGGATAACATTGTGTTATCCGGGCATGGGTTGCCGTGATTGGTGGTGGTTCGTTGGTGGTCTGTTGGTGGGGGACGACGGTCCCGGCGGAATAAGGTTGGACTTGGCTGTACAGGGGATCCTGGAGGTAATGGTTGGCTTGAAGGTACAAGGTTGGGGGTAGCCATAAGGTTGGAACAGGGCATAAGGAAGGCATACCAACTCGTGATGGGTGATGTTACGAGGGCTTGTAAAGCCGGTGTTGTGTGATCTTCTCTCGTGACGTGTGTAGTCACGGAGCCTTGTGGTGTTTTGGCATGTGTTGCCGTTGGGTGAGTCTTTATCCTTGTGTGTGGTTAACCTTTGTGGTTGGGATGTGTTCCCGGTGTTATCTTTGTGAGTGGTGAGTCTTGTGTTGTCTTGTGATCTTGGTTTTTAACTTATATATATTGTATTCCGTTTTGAAAATGGTTTTTATATCATATATCTACCTATTTATGATACTTAACGGTATTGGTGGGTTACCAGCATTATTCGCTGACCGGGCGTCGCCCCGATGTTTATCTTTGTATCTTTCAGGTGTTGAGTAGTCGAGCGCGATGTCTAGAGCCTGGAAGCTTAGCACCTGTATCTTTAGACTGTGTTTTTGTGGCCTGCGTGCCAATGGTTTTAGATTGATGTTTTGGGATAGTGTTTTACACTTGCAGATTGTCGCCTTAGCGTTACCTAGTGTGGTATACGTGGCATAACACCCCTGTTTTGGATTTCTTTTATCCAGTCGCCTCGCCTTTTTATCTTCCGCTGTGCTAGTGTTTTGTTGTTAATCTGCATGTGCAGATTGTCGCCTTAGCGTTACCTAGTGTGGTATACGTGGCATAACACCCCTGTTTTGGATTTCTTTTATCCAGTCGCCTCGCCTTTTTATCTTCCGCTATGCTAGTGTTTTGTTGTTAATCTGCATGTGTTAAGACTTTTTTTTAGGTCTTATTTTTGGGGGGTGTTACATTAATAGTGTGGTGCTCAAAGAGAGATTCTAACATGCAGATGCTAGTGTTTTGTTGTTAATCTGCATGTGTTAAGACTTTTTTTTAGGTCTTATTTTTGGGGGGTGTTACATTAATAGTGTGGTGCTCAAAGAGAGATTCTAACATGCAGTACGTTAGAAACTAGGGCTGGTACATTAATAGTGTGGTGCTCAAAGAGAGATTCTAACATGCAGTACGTTAGACACTAGGGCTGGGCACTTCGGTTCGATTCGGTCTCAAACCGAATAACCGATCGGTACTCGATTTGGGTAACCCGATCGGTTTTTGTTTTGTTTTTGTTTTTTTTTTTGTTTTTTTGTTTTTTTTTTGTTTCTTTTTTTTTTTTTACATTAATAAATATATACAATATACTTAAATGTCTTAAGTGAGGTTTAAACCTTTAACCATCAAGTTTGAAGTTGAGAGCTTTACCGATTAAGCTAAAGGCACATTTGTGTTAATATTTACATTTGTATGTTAATAAAGGTATATATTATTTTATTAAATGTTGTAAACTTCAATTGTAATAGACAAAATTATCCCTACTACATTATTGTTAGACTAAAATACCCTTATACCGTTATAACACCGTTATTATTTAATTCTAAAATTTTCATAATTCTATCATTATTATCATACACCTATATCTAATTATCTATGATATCTTTTTCCTATTCTTTAATTATCATTTTATTAAAATCATTATATAATTAGTTTAATTGTTGATTATATTTTAATTAAATTTCTATGAATAGTAAATTATATATGTGTGTATATATATATAGGCACGTACACGCACCAATATATGTGACCGGTTACTAGTTAGTATTATATATATTTTATTTATTTATTGTAAAAACAAAGTATACATTATATCAAAATTGTTTACATTATTAACAAACAAAATATCAATTGTGTTCATCTCTATAGTTTTCAAATACGATGATTAAAATTTACTAATTTAAGGATTTTGTGAAATATAATTTGAACTATAATTTGTAATTATTTGCATTTATCAAATTTTTAATGTTGGGCATAAATTTTAGCGCATCACTCGTACAAAATGCTAGTATTATATATACATATTATAATAATTAATAATTTTAACTCCCCAAGTACTCAGATCTCAACTCTAAGTTGTAAGTCTCAACATTTGGCATTTTAATAATTCTTATTTTTCAAATATTAACTATAGATGGATGATTCTTTATATTGTCATCAACAAAACACTTCAAGTGGCACTCCAAGTGAGCCAACTGAACAATCGGGCAAGTAAAAAAGAAAACGTTTATTTAGTGGACTTCTACCAAAACCGAACCGAACGTTTCAAACAGAAACCGAAACCGAAACCGAACTCTATTTTAAACCGAATGGTTTAATTTTTTTAAAACCGAAAAACCGAAAACGAAAAAAACCGAACCGAAACCCGAAGTGCCCAGCCCTAGTCAGGTCGACTGGTAAAATGGGCCATGGAACTAACCCAGTACGGGATCGAGTATCAACCACGACCGTCCATAAAAGGGCAAGCCTTGGCCGACTTCTTGGTTGAGTGCACAGTAGGGGAAGGCGAGAAAGAGGGCACCATGGAAGATAGCTCAGGCGAATGGAGCGGCAAGTCGACAACACTGCGGAGGAGGAGTCATGCTAATTACTCCAGAGGGCTTCCGGCTTTACTATGCCCTAAGCTATTTTTTTCCAACATCCAATATTGAAGCCGAGTATGAGGCTGTGTTGGGCGGTCTTCGACTCGCCAAAACGCTGGGAGTAGAACGATTGCGGATCAAAACTGACTCCCGATTAGTGGTCGGACAAATCTCCAGCACCTGCGAAGCTAAGAACGTCCGGATGGCCCAGTATAAGGAGAAAGCGATAGAAATGCTGACAGAATTTGGAACCTATGAGATAGAGCACATCTCTCGAGCGGACAACATCGAGGCCAACATATTATCAAAAATTGCCTTAGAAGGAATACCAGATCACCTCGTCAAGATTTGCCAAAAGGAAGAATTAAGTCGGCCAAGTATAGAGGAGACGCCATTGGTGTAACACCCCCAAAAACAAGACCTAAAAACAAGTCTTAACACATGCAGATTAACAACAAAACTAGCACAGCAGAAGATAGACGGAAACTGAATAAAAGAAATCCAAAAAGGGGTGTTATGCCACGTATACCACACTAGGTAATGCTAAGGCAACAATCTGCAAGTGTAACCACTATCCCAAAACATCAATCTAAAACAGTCTAAAAACATTGGCGCACAGGCCACAAAAACACAGTATAAAGATGCAGGTACTAAGCTACCAGGCTCTAGACATCGCGCTCGACTACACATCACCTGAAAGATACAAAGATAAACATCGGGGCGACGCCCGGTCAGCGAATAATGCTGGTAACCCACCAATACCGTTAAGTATCATAAATAGGTAGATATAAGATATAAAAACCATTTCCGAAACGGAATACATATATATAAGTTAAAAACCAAGATCAAAAGACAACACAAGACTCATCACTCACAAGGATAACACCGGGAACACATCCCAACCAGAAAGGTTAACCACACACAAGGATAAAGACTCACCCAACGACAACACATGCCAAAACACCACAAGACTCCGTGACTACACACGTCACGAGAGAAGATCACACAACGCCGGCTTTAAAAGCCCTCGCAACATCACCCATCGCGAGTTTGGTATGCCTTCCATATGCCCTGTTCCAACCTTACGGCTACCCCCAACCATATACCTTCAAGCCAACCATTACCTCCAGGATCCCCTGTACAGCCAAGTCCAACATTATTCCGCCGGGACCGTCGTCCCCCACCTATAACCACCAACGAACCACCACCAATCACGACAACACATGCCCGGATAACACAATGTTATCCCCCAATCACGTGGACCCATCACTCATGCCACAGCTCCATAATCACGTCACGGTGATGGACTATTTTTAATAGTCCTCGCAAGTGCACGAGTCACTGTAGTAATAGTGTGCAAAGCAAAGGTCGATCCCACAGGGAATTGATACAACGCAATTTAATTACTAAACTTAAAGAGATAATTGACGATAATGTAAAATACTAGAAATCAAATGCTAAAGATGAATTTGAATACTACATAATTAAATCAAATTGAGGAAGCTAATTAAGCAAACAAATTACCGAATCAACTCCTTAAAACTAGTCATTAGCATCTCAATACAATCCAAATTGAATTACGGCAATCATTCAAAACCAATTATATAAATTCATTAAGCAATATAGCAATTAAATGAAATGAAATGCTTTCTAAAAAGTTAAGTAGTGTGACTCACAAATGTGTTGGTACTGAAAGAAAAGATAAAACAATGAAGGGAAAGAAAACAAAAATGCATTCCTAGAAATCGTAAAGCCAAACAGTGCAACCAAATTAAGCAGACTTTGTTGTTGAAAATTGATGAAACAAGAATGGCTGCCGTCGAGGATTAACTTAGAGTTGCTGATCAGAAATTGTTGCTACGCCGAGGAGAAATATCCACGCCACCGCCCAAAATTCATCAAACCCAGAATTTCGTCGTCACCGAAAATAGTCACCGGAAAACCAAACCCAGCCGTACCAACCAGAGTTGCTCCGGGGTAAGATTGATGATCCACAATTGAAGATTGGCCTCCCTTTATACAAACAGCCTTGCCCGTAACTCTTTAAATTCCGCAGTTGCAGAAGGCCTTGATCCAAGGAAGGCCATCGAAGCCTCTGCTAATTAATCGGTCAAACCTCTTGATCCTTGCCTTCTGGTGACGTTGATTTACGAAGGGAAAGACAAGGTCTTTTACTCAATGAATTAACATTTATTAAACTTAATATGATGGCTGTCAAAATAAAAACTAACCAAATAATAAAATACTAAAACACAATATATATTTATAAAACCGATTACAAATAAGTTATAAAAGATTATTAAACTTGATAATAATAGGGATAACTTAATTATTTGGGATGACTAACACATTTTATTAACTAATAATAATAATAATAATCTTATTAGAGTCCATATATAACTAATCTACATTTATTAAACTCCTATTGATCATGTACTACTAAAATTAATATTATTATTATTAAATTAGGATCAAAGAATTATTGGACTGACAGAATTCAAATAATAAAACAAATTTAATAAGTAAAACAACCTAAAATTGAATAATATTAACAAAGCTACTAATCACAATAATAAATAAAAATAGATATAAAATTAATCAATTATAGTATATTAACTATAAAAAGATTATTAAAAATATCAACAAAAATAATGTTTATCAAATTTCCCCACACTTATTTGTTTGCTTGTCCTCAAGCAAAAGCATTATTAAAAGAAACAAAAGAAATTAAAAATAAAACCAAACATTAAACTGAGCTTTACCCGAATAGACTTTGAAATTTATTTACCTCAATGCAAGGTTAGTGTCAACTCAAAGAGTGCATAAAACAGTCGACTAGAAATTAAAAACTTTAACAACTAAAACAAATATAAAACGCGTGCTTGTGTGCTGACACCCCTTATATGAACTATACAAAAACTCAATAGAAAAATATGAAAATTTCACCATACTCAACCTAAACCAAATTCATAAATATTCTATCACAGTGCAGGTGCAAAACATGAAGGAAATCAGGATCAAGGCATTTATTAAAATTGAAATGCAATTGCTCGTCTCTTCCAAAGTTCACTCATTATTTTTTCTATTTTGACTTTTTTCAAAGAGAACTTCCCCAAAAACCTCGTCATTTTACGCCAGACTTGTTTGAGTTTTCAATTTTGTGTGTACTCATAAACCAGACCACGACACTTATTTATTTATTTATGGTACATGTGTATATGTGGCTGATTCAGCGGAGTAGAATCTCTGAAATTGCTGAAAATAAAATAAATAAAACACTCTCATTTATTTTTGAATATATTTTTAAATCTTTTGTTAAAAGATTTTTCACCTCACTTATGCCACAAATGATCCTTGAACCAACACATTACACCACAATTTATAGCACTCAAAAAAATATTTAAGAATTTGAAAAAGGTAATATAAAGTGAAACCAACATATAAACTATCAAAGAAAATGCATAAAACATATAAGGGTATTTGTGATTTTCAAATTCTATTTTTTTTTTTTTTTGTTTTTGTCTATTTTTTTTTTGGCTTTTTGTTTTTTGTTTTTTGTTTTTTGTTTTTTTTTTTTGTTTTTTTGACAAAGATATAAAATTAAAGAAATTAACAACTAGTCAAAAGCAATATACACACTAAGAGTTGACAAAAATATGCATTATTACTATCAGCAAATATTTAAAAGAATCACAAGTGTAAAGCTCAAACTAATGCTAGAATTTTTTTTTTTTTAAGAAAATGAACATAAGAAAATTAAAAAGTTTGAAATTAAAAAAGGTTAAGAAAATATACATAAGAAAATTAAAAAGTTTAAAATTTTTCAATTTTTTGTGATTTGTGGGTAAAATCCCTCCCCCACACTTATTTTCAACATTGTCCTCAATGTTGTGAGAGGAAAGAAAAGAAAACAAAGAGAGTCCTCCTTTATTAGATTTTTTATGTGTGGAATTATCATTTAGCCCTGCAGTTTGAGAATAACAAAAAGAAACTAATTTATCAACGCCATTCAAAAGATTTTCTGTTTGAATTTTATCGAAACCCAACTTACCATCATCATCAAAATTCAACCCTGCAAAAACTTGGTTATAACTATCAGACAGATTCATAGATGTAAAAATTGAAAACTTTGCAGTTTCAGCAAGCACATTTTTGGTCAATTTATCTGCTTGAGCATCAATAGGTATTGGGAGCAATTCTTTTTGTAGCTCTGCACCTACCGTTTCAGGCACACAACTTTTGAGCCTATTTGGAAACGAAATTGGGGACACAAAAGGCTCGGGTGCTACATAGGGCTCTTCTTCCTCACAATCTTTATTTTGTATAGGTTCGGTATTTTCGAAATTTTCATCAACAGGGACAGGGGGCACATAAGGGTTATCAGATTTATGCAATTGAGGTTCATCCTTTTCAACAATAATATCATTAGCATCATTATTCAATTTTTCAATTTCAACTTGATTAGAAGTGATATTATCTTTTACCATGTTTTCATTCATAGCTTCCTCTGGAATAGGTAACTTACCTGGCACGTGCCCTTGCACAAATTTAGCAATTTGCTCTAAATGTGCTTCTATTCTTTTAAAGCAAGCCTCATTTTGTTCATCTGCTTCTTGTCGTATCTGCAACCATTGATCATATTCTTCTTGCCGCCTATTGCAAGTCTGTATATACTCCTGTAGAGAATCTTCCAAAGATGGCTTTTTAGGTTGTGGTGGGTCAATTGGTTGAAAGTCATTTTGATTATTATCCCAATAAAAATCAGAATGACTCGGTTGAAAATCATTTTGATTATAATCAAAATAAAAATTATGATGATTAGGGTAAAAATTATTTTGATTATCATCCCAAGAAATATTAAGATGGTTTTCCCAACTCGAATTATAAGAATTATAAAATGACTCGGGCACGGGCCTTTGATTAAAAACATTAATTGGATTTTCCTGTCCAAAATCATTATTATAAGAATTATTTTGGTTTGACAAAAAAGAGTACATATGAAAATGTAAAATTTTTCAAATATTTGTGTGATGAAGAATGAAAATGAATTTTGAGAAAGTAGAATGGACTAATGAATCAAATTAATGAGTAAGATTAAATTGAAGGGAAAAAAATCAAATGACAATAATAATAAACAGATTGGAAAAAAAATCAACTAGTATTAAGAAATGTGATAAATAAAGGGAACAATGGAAATAAAAACAAATGTAAAGCAATGTTTAAATAGACGAATGAATCATGCAAGATTAAAAATGAAAAAACAGGGAAAGAAAAACAAATGTAAAGAAATGTTTAAATAGACGAATGAATTAAATAAAACGCAAGATTAAAAATGAAAACAAGGACAATAATGAAGGGGTAGGGAACAAAATCAAGCAATTAACGAAAGGAAAAAAATAGAAAATTAAATTTCAAAATAAACAAGTCCCCGGCAACGGTGCCAAAAATTGATGGACTATTTTTTATAGTCCTCGCAAGTGCACGAGTCACTGTAGTAATAGTGTGCAAAGCAAAGGTCGATCCCACAGGGAATTGATACAACGCAATTTAATTACTAAACTTAAAGAGATAATTGACGATAATGTAAAATACTAGAAATCAAATGCTAAAGATGAATTTGAATACTACATAATTAAATCAAATTGAGGAAGCTAATTAAGCAAACAAATTACCGAATCAACTCCTTAAAACTAGTCATTAGCATCTCAATACAATCCAAATTGAATTACGGCAATCATTCAAAACCAATTATATAAATTCATTAAGCAATATAGCAATTAAATGAAATGAAATGCTTTCTAAAAAGTTAAGTAGTGTGACTCACAAATGTGTTGGTACTGAAAGAAAAGATAAAACAATGAAGGGAAAGAAAACAAAAATGCATTCCTAGAAATCGTAAAGCCAAACAGTGCAACCAAATTAAGCAGACTTTGTTGTTGAAAATTGATAAACAAGAATGGCTGCCGTCGAGGATTAACTTAGAGTTGCTGATCAGAAATTGTTGCTACGCCGAGGAGAAATATCCACGCCACCGCCCAAAATTCATCAAACCCAGAATTTCGTCGTCACCGAAAATAGTCACCGGAAAACCAAACCCAGCCGTACCAACCAGAGTTGCTCCGGGGTAAGATTGATGATCCACAATTGAAGATTGGCCTCCCTTTATACAAACAGCCTTGCCCGTAACTCTTTAAATTCCGCAGTTGCAGAAGGCCTTGATCCAAGGAAGGCCACCGAAGCCTCTGCTAATTAATCGGTCAAACCTCTTGATCCTTGCCTTCCGGTGACGTTGATTTACGAAGGGAAAGACAAGGTCTTTTAGTCAATGAATTAACATTTATTAAACTTAATATGATGGCTGTCAAAATAAAAACTAACCAAATAATAAAATACTAAAACACAATATATATTTATAAAACTGATTACAAATAAGTTATAAAAGATTATTAAACTTGATAATAATAGGGATAACTTAATTATTTGGGATGACTAACACATTTTATTAACTAATAATAATAATAATAATCTTATTAGAGTCCATATATAACTAATCTACATTTATTAAACTCCTATTGATCATGTACTACTAAAATTAATATTATTATTATTAAATTAGGATCAAAGAATTATTGGACTGACAGAATTCAAATAATAAAACAAATTTAATAAGTAAAACAACCTAAAATTGAATAATATTAACAAAGCTACTAATCACAATAATAAATAAAAATAGATATAAAATTAATCAATTATAGTATATTAACTATAAAAAGATTATTAAAAATATCAACAAAAATAATGTTTATCACACGGCCACCACGAGGACCGCTGCAATACCTTGGTGACTAGTGTCCCAGACCACTAATCGTGCAATCCAGGTAGAGCCACACACGCACCACCACTCACACGAATCAATCAACGGATTGCAAAGAAGTTATGAAACACACTCGATCAAGGAACGGGTCACAGCCCAACAACAACAACGATGAATAACACAAGTTATCATCAACCACACGGAAGGTACGAACAACACACACGCTAGTATTAAGACAACGAACTAGCATGCTTAACAACGGGGAAACTCAAGATAGTTCCGAGGAACACACAAGACACCTCTTGGTTCAACGAAACACAGTGTTGAACACTTAGCACGATTCAAGACACCAAAGATCCTACATGGATACCTACCATATAGTTCTAGACCTACGAAACATCAAAGAGACGCTCAAATAGTTACACAAAAGAACATCGGGAAGCCAAAAGATCAAATACCGAGACAAACAATTCACGGGGAACAAATCCCGAACGAACACCATTGTGTTCCCCGCGGGTGGACCCACGGGTAGTGCCCCACCCGTGGTCCCGCCCGCGGGAACACCATCCCACGAGGCCTGTACCCGCGGGTAGGCCGGCGGGTGGTGCCCCGCCCGCCGTTCCGCCCGCGGGAACATTCCTGTTCCACAACAAATCCCTTCTGGGATTTTCTTCTCCAAACACAAATTCAAGTTCAAAACATGCCAAATCTCACTCAACACAACAAAATGACTTGAATCATGGAAAATGCCAAGCAATGGCACAAAGAAACCCTAAACACAAGCTCTAGATATGCAATATCACAAGATAAATGCATAAACTCTCACATTTCATAGCAAAGAACAAGTAGAAGCCAAGAAATCACATATAGGTAAGCAAAATCGGTTTTGTAGAGCATGGGTTACCTCTTGAAGACCAAAAGACTTCTCTTAACACCACAACAAGCTCTCCATTAAGCTCACTAGCCAAACCCACTTCAAGATCAAACCAAAAGATCATAAAGATCCTACCGTTAAGAAAAAGACAACTAAGATGGAACAAAAAAAACTAGACAAGCTTAGATTTTACCCTTCTAGATGCCCAAATAGATGAAAGGTTGCATCTTGGAAGCAAAACTTGGAATCTTGACAAAGGTCTCACTTGGCTTGAAGAACAAGCTACTCTTCTTTTCTAGAGAGAAGGTAGAGATATTTTCTAGGAATTGTAAAGAATGAAATGAAGAAGTCTTCTAGGTTTAGGTTTGAATACTAACTCTTGGTGAAAAGACAAGGATACCCTTACTAACTCTTAGAAAGTGTAAGGAACAAGGGAACTCCTATCAAAGCACAAGGTACAACACAACTTAAGGATTGACTAGTCAAATACTAGTCCTTGAGTATTAAAAATGAGGATTTTAGGAATCAATTCCTCAAAAGAAATAGAATTAAGTACTCAATTAATTCGTGGATTGGAGTGTGGATTTTTGGGGTGTCACAGTTGGAGGTCCAACAGGTAACTATCGAGGAGTGGGATCGAGAGAAAAACCCCGAGATGTTCTGGATAGAAGACATCCGGCGATTTAAGGAAACGGGCGAGTTGCCAAATGATCCAGGAGTCGCCGCAAGGGTTCGACGAAAAGCCCCTTCATTCCAGATCATTAACGGGCAAATGTACAAGCGATCATTCGGAGGCCCCCTCTTGAAGTGCCTACTCAGGCCAGAAGCCGAGAAGATAATGGATGAAGCTCACCGAGGAATCTGTGTCGCCCACCAGGGAGCCCACACTCTCGCCCGAAAACTAGTCGCCCAGGGGTATTACTGGCCGACATGATGCGAGATTATATTGAGTGGATAGCTAAGTGTTGCGTTTGCCAAGCCTTCGCTCGGAAGGGTACTCGGCCGGCCACCTTCCACACACCGGTCACCACGACCATCCCTTTTGCTAAATGGGGAATCGACTTGTTGGGACCGTTACCAGTCGCCCCTGGAAGCCTGAAATTCTGCGTCGTGGCCATCGATTACTTCACCAAATGGGTCGAGGCCGAGCCATTGGCCACCATCACCGAGTGCCAGTGTCGACGCTTCCTGTGGAAAAAGGTGATTTGCCGCTTCGGCCTACCCGAGCACGTAGTTAGCGACAACGACCGACAGTTCGATTATCAAGCCTTCGCCGACTTCTGTCGCCGACATAGTATACGACACACCAAGGTATCCGTCGCGTACCCCCAGGCCAACGGACATGTTGAAAATGTAAATTGGACCATAGTGGACGGGATTCGGAAGAAGTTAGAAGACATCAGAGGAAATTGGGCGGATGAGCTCGACCGGGTCCTGTGGGCTTATCGAACTACGCAAAGACGGGAGACTGGAGAAAGCCCGTTTTCCCTAGCGTACGGCTTCGAAGCCAAGGTCCCGATAGAAGTCGTGGAACCCACCCACCGAGTCCGCGACTATTCCGATGAGGAGAATGAGGAGATCAGAGCCTTAAAATTGAGAAGAATTTCCTGGAAGAAAGAAGGGAGGCCGCACACGCTCGGATGGTAGAATACCAGCAAGCCGTAAAGAGGTATCGTGATAGAAGGATTCGCCGACGAACCTTTCAGGTCGGCGATCTCGTGCTACGGGACCGACAGGCGAGCCAGCCTACGGAAGGAGGTAAATTCGCAATCAAATGGGAAGGACCGTATCGCATTGCCGCCGTGGTCCAAGCCGGTACCTACAAACTGGAGACCCTAGAGGGAAAGCCCGTTGACCGAATCTGGAATGTCATCCACTTGAAGAAGTTTTACCAACAAGAGGTTAGCCGTGTATGAGTATCCGAGTTTCTAACCTTAAATAAAAGAGCGTCAATTACCATCGATTACCGCCTTTCGCTCGGTGAGACGAGATAGGAAACAAGGGCCCAGACCTTTAGTCGTTTCCGTGAAAAAGCCAAAAGGAGTCGTCTCGACTGAGGGACTCGACGAGAAATTAACGAAACAACGGGGCACTGACCCTAAACCGTTTCTAAGAAAAGAAAAAACCCAAGGAGTCGCCCCGACTGAGGGACTCGGCGAGAAGAGATAGGAAACAAGGGCCCAGACCCTTAGTCGTTTTCGTGAAAAAGCCAAAAGGAGTCGCCTCGACTGAGGGACTCGGCGAGAAATTAAAGAAATTACGGGGCACTGACCCTAAACCGTTTCTAAGAAAAGAAAAAGCCTAAGGAGTCGCCTCGACTAAGGGACTCGGCGAGAAGAGATAGGAAACAAGGGCCCAGACCCTTAGTCGTTTCCGTGAAAAAGCCAAAAGGAGTCGCCTCGACTGAGGGACTCAGCGAGAAATTAAAGAAACAACGGGGCACTGACCCTAAACCGTTTCTAAGAAAAGAAAAATCCTAAGGAGTCGCCTCGACTGAGGGACTCGGCGAGAGGAGATTGGAAACAAGGGCCAGACCCTTAGTCGTTTCCGTGAAAAAGCCAAAAGGAGTCGCCTCGACTGAGGGACTCGGCGAGAAATTAAAGAAACAACGAGGCACTGACCCTAAACCGTTTCTAAGAAAAGAAAGAGCCTAAGGAGTCGCCTCGACTGAGGGACTCGGCGAGAAGAGATAGGAAACAAGGGCCCAGACCCTTAGTCGATTCCGTGAAAAACCCAAAAGGAGTCGCCTTGACTGAGGGACTCGGCGAGAAGAGATAGGAAACTAGGGCCCAGACCCTTAGTCGTTTCCGTGAAAAAGCCAAAAGAAGTCGCCTCGACTGAGGGACTCGGTGAGAAATTAAAGAAACAACTACGCACTTACCCTAAACTGTTTCTAAGAAAAGAAAGAGCCTAAGGAGTCGCCTCGACTGAGGGACTCGGCGAGAAATTAAAGAAACAACGAGGCGCTGACCCTAAACCATTTCTAAGAAAAGAAAGAGCCTAAGGAGTCGCCTCGACTGAGGGACTCGGCGAGAAGAGATAGGAAACAAGGGCCCAGACCCTTAGTAATTTTCGTGAAAAAGCCAAAAGGAGTCGCCTCGACTGAGGGACTCGGTGAAAAATTAAAGAAACAATGAGGCACTGACCCTAAATCGTTTCTAAGAAAAGAAAGAGCCTAAGGAGTCACCTCGACTGAGGGACTCGGCGAGAAGAGATAGGAAGCAATGGCCCAGACCCTTAGTCGCTTCCGTGAAAAAGCCAAAAGGAGTCGCCTCGACTGAGGGACTCGGCGAGAAATTAAAGAAACAACGTGGCACTAACTCTAAACCGTTTCTAAGAAAATAAAGAGCCTAAGGAGTCGCATCGACTGAGGGACTCGGCGGCAAGAGATAGGAAACAATGGCCCAGACCCTTAGTCGTTTCCGTGAAAAAGCCAAAAGGAGTCGCCTCGACTGAGGGACTCTGCGAGAAATTAAAGAAACAACGAGGCACTTACCCTAAACTGTTTCTAAGAAAAGAAAGAGCCTAAGGAGTCGCCTCGACTAAAGGACTCGGCGAGAAGAGATAGGAAACAAGGGCCCAGACCCTTAGTCGTTTCCATGAAAAAGCCAAAAGAAGTCGCCTCGACTGTGGGACTCGGCGAGAAATTAAAGAAACAATGAGGCGCTGACCCTAAACCGTTTTTAAGAAAAGAAAGAGCCTAAGGAGTCGCCTCGACTGAGGGACTCGGCGAGAAGAGATAGGAAACAAGGGCTCAGACCCTTAGTCATTTCCGTGTAAAAGCCAAAAGGAGTCGCCTCGACTGAGGGACTCGGTGAAAAATTAAAGAAACAATGAGGCACTGACCCTAAACCGTTTCTAAGAAAAGAAAGAGCCTAAGGAGTCGCCTCGACTCAGGGACTCGGCGAGAAGAGATAGGAAGCAAGGGCCTAGAGCCTTAGTCGTTTCCGTGAAAAAGCCAAAAGGAGTCGCCTCGACTGAGGGACTTGGCGAGAAATTAAAGAAACAACGTGGCACTAACCCTAAACCGTTTCTAAGAAAAGAAAGAGCCTAAGGAGTCGCCTCGACTGAGGGACTCGGCGAGAACAGATAGGAAACAAGGGCCCAGACCCTTAGTCGTTTCCGTGAAAAAGCCAAAAGGAGTCGCCTCGATTGAGGGACTCGGCGAGAAATTAAAGAAACAACGAGGCACTGACCCTAAACCGTTTCTAAGAAAAGAAAGAGCTTAAGGAGTTGCCTCGACTGAGGGACTCGGCGAGAAGAGATAGGACGCAAGGGCCCAGACCCTTAGTCGTTTCCGTGAAAAGAAAGGGAGTCGCCTCGACTGAGGGACTCGGCAGGGTATTAGACTGTTTCTGAGTATCAAAAGAGAAGAGAAGTCGCCTGGATCACAGTAATTCAACAAAATGGAAGAGTCCAGGACCTTAAGTTATTTTTTATGGATTAAGATCAAAAAGAGATAAAAGCAGTCGGAAGAAGCAGAAAAGGAATTTCATTAATGAAGGACCTAAGAGGGGGGGCCAACCCTTACAAAAGAGGGCTACCAAAAGGAAAACCCTAAACTACGGGGGAGGGGGTGTCGACATCAACTTCGTCGACTCGAGCTTCCGCCGTTGGTCCAGCTGGAAGAACATGTGAGGGGTCTTCTGCCTGGGAAGACGGCTCCGTAAGCTCAGAAGGTGCCGCCACAGGAAGAGCTGCCGGATCCGCAGTTGACACGGGCTCATCAGTCGCCGGTAGGGGATCCAGTACTGGCTTGAGGCCCCAGCTGTAACACCCCGTGTTACGAATCCTAAAACCAACTGATTAATTAATTAATTAATTAATAACCCAGAAGAAAGAATAAATTATAATGGTTAATTAGGGAAAAAGGCCACCATAGCCCATGGGCCCAAATATGTAAACCCAAACCCTAAACCCAATAGGAATAAACTCTAAATAAACCCTTGGATCTATAAATAGGGAACTTAGGGAGCACCTAGAACCCCCGCCCACACGCCTAGACGCCCCATCACCCCAGGAGAGCTCCAAGAATTCCCTTAGAAGAAATCAAGAAAGCAAGAAAGCTTAAAGAAAGATCCTTCATAGCCAAGGAATTAATTAAGGCTAAGAGGTAACCCATGTCTCAACAAAACCTATTTTCATAGCTATAATTTCCCCCTAGGGTTTCCCCCACATTATTGTGAATGGCGAGTTGTTGTGTTTATTATTGATGTTGATGTGATGATTCCATGAGGAATCTTGATAATCTTGATATTGGGAATTTCTTGATAATTATGATGTTCTTGATGATTAATTGGTATCCTTGATGATTATGTGTTGTTCTTACCGAATCTTGCAATTAGAAGACGAATCGTATTCTTGTTAACATAAAAGTGATTAGAACCATAGGTTGTATCGTATGATATTATTCTTGGATTATCGGGTGGGAAATCGCATGTTTGGGAGTTGATTATGTTTAGAAAAGCATGATAGGATAAGTGTCGCTCGTTTCTCGTATTTGATCCGTTAATTGTCTAGGTGTTGCCGTGAACTACGTTGTAAAGTGTCCAAGCATGGTTTCGAGTTCCACAACGGTTCCCGGGGCGAAAAGTTGATGAAGAGAGTCAGTGGGGGGTAGGGGACCCGCCACCTACCCACGGCCGAGAACACTGTTCCGGCAGCGGGCAGCCCGCCGGCGACCCGCTGCCCGGAACAGTATTGTCTGGCGGGCAGCCGGCGGGTGACCCCCACCCACCGGCTACCCGCTGGAATCTTCCCCCCCTCGGGACCCCGGCTTCCCCGTTTGATGTTTCCCCGATCCCCGTGGTGTCCCAACGGACCCCGTTTGTCGTGCCTATGTCTAGTTTGGTATTTCGGGTACCGTTCGTAGGTTTATGAGTCGATTATATTGCATGCTAGTTGAATTGGTATCCCGTTGACCTAGGTGGAAGA